GGGGCCTTGGGCCAGCTGCAGTTTGTTAGGTAATTTTCAGATTGCAAAGGGCCAGGCCTTTCATATGCAAAAGCCTCCGTGCAAGGCTTGGTCAGGGCGGGGTCCCAGGGGATCAACAGGGCGGAACGAGCAGTTATGGCTGCTCTCAGGCCTGCCCTCAGAGGCCCCGCTTTTCAGTGTCCCGGCAATCGCTGCAAGCACCTCTGAGAAAAAGCGGCCTTCGAGTTCCGACCGATGTCAGACAGTCCAGTTTCTCCCGTATGAGTGTGAGTCCCCGGAGACTCGCCCGGAACTGGAGTTCAGAGCAGTCAGGAGTTTGAGACTCCCTCCTGATTGAAAAAGACAACCGTGTCCTCAGCTGCCAGCCCTCTCCGCATGCGCCTCCGTACTGCTGTACTTTACCTCTGCACCGTACCTCCTCTGAGTCTCGATTTCTGCACATGATGCCAAGGCACGGAATGATTTGGGAAGTAGCCGTGCTGCTCAGCTTGGTCCTGGGAACGGGGGCTACTCCCGAGGACGATCCCGAGGATGGAGGCAAGCACTGGGTGGTCATCGTCGCAGGCTCCAATGGCTGGTATAACTACAGGCACCAGGCAGATGCGTGCCACGCCTACCAGATCGTCCACCGCAATGGGATTCCCGACGAGCAGATTGTGGTGATGATGTACGATGACATCGCCAACTCTGAAGAGAACCCCACTCCAGGAGTTGTGATCAACAGACCCAATGGCTCGGACGTGTACAAGGGGGTCCTGAAGGACTACACCGGGGAGGATGTCACACCGAAAAGTTTCCTTGCTATGCTGCGAGGCGATGAAGAAGCAGTGAAGGGCATAGGGTCCGGAAAGGTCTTGAAGAGCGGCCCCCAGGATCACGTGTTTGTTTACTTCACTGATCACGGAGCTACTGGACTACTGGCCTTTCCTAACGATGATCTTCATGTGAAGGACCTGAATGAGACCATCAAGTACATGCACAAACACAAAAAGTACCAGAAGATGGTGTTCTACATTGAAGCCTGCGAGTCGGGGTCCATGATGAGACACCTGCCCACCGACATCAATGTTTATGCCACGACGGCCGCCAATCCCGACGAGTCATCCTACGCCTGTTACTACGATGAGCAGAGGTCCACGTACCTGGGGGAATGGTACAGCGTCAACTGGATGGAGGACTCGGACGTGGAGGACTTGACCAAGGAGACTCTGCACAAGCAGTACCAGCTGGTAAAGACCCACACCAACACCAGCCACGTCATGCAGTATGAGAACAAGTCCATCTCTACCATGAAACTGATGCAGTTCCAGGGTGTGAAACACAAGGCCAGCGCTCCCATCTCCCTGCCGCCCGCCCCACACCTGGACCTCACTCTGAGCCCCGAGGTGCCCCTCATGATCATGAAGAGGAAGCTGATGCTCACCAACGACCTGCAGGAGTCCAGGCGTCTCGTCGAGCAGATCCACAGGCACCTGGAGAGCAGGCATATCATGGAGAAGTCGGTGCAAAAGATCGTCTCCTTGCTCACGAGGTCCGATGACGAGGCGGAGAGGCTCCTGTCCGAGAGGGCCCCGCTCACCGCGCACAGCTGCTACCAGGCTGCCGTGACCCACTTCCGCACGCACTGCTTCAACTGGCACTCCCCCACGTACGAGTACGCTCTGAGGCATCTGTACGTGCTGGCCAACCTCTGTGAGAAACCCTACCCCATCGACAGAATAAAATGGTCCATGGACAAGGTGTGCCTCGGCTACTACTGAAACGCTGCCGTCTCGCTGCTTTTACTTTTAGAAAATAATACAAGTTTTGATTGCTTTTTATGTTTTATTCCTCAATGATGGATAAAAAAG